TTTTTACCTGTATTGCTCGCATATAGTCGACAAATATTTAATTAATTTTCAATGCCACACACACGTTCGTGATAATTGAAAGCGCAAACATTTAGTTTTATTTTCAATGTTATTTCTATTATTACCGTGAAATATTCTCTGTAATAATTCTCTGAGAGGACAAAAATTCAACTGGTGATTGTTATTGCAGATGGAAATAGCATGCACGAATCTCGTGATTCCTTTAATTATCGATGCTATACAAATGCAAATATTCTTGAATAATTACGCGTGCATGAAATACATTTGAATCGAAACGTTTAAACAAAGAACTTGGTGTAGCAGCTCTTTGTTGAAACTCGTCACTCCTTTCAAATAGAATACTTTACAACTAAGACATATTCATTTATTTATAACAAAGAATACAATGATGGCTTAGATTTCAAGAATTTTACTTCGTTCGAATGAACTCTTCCCTCATTGTGCCAACTACGCTCATTTATTGTTCATTCATAATTTCCTTCTTCATGTTTATTTCATTTTTTCTAAATTGTCAATCAATTACTAAATATATTCATCTTCATGGAAATCAAAGTTGAAAGTTGAAAAGTCACGTTGAGAACGTAACTATAGTTGACAGGAAAGGGGTTCGATCAAACGATATAATCTCTACCTTCTTTTTCTTTGTTATATAATAATGGTAATAATAATAATATTTTTCTTTGGTAACATGTATAATAACTGAAAACAAAATTTCCACATATATAAACTATTTTTAAAATCTATATTATGGTTTCAAATATTATTTTGAAATATTATATATTTAAATAGTTATGGATTTTAAATAAATAAGGATTTTCATAGACGTTCTTCTTATACTTTTAGTAGAATATGAATAACCATATAATATATAAATAACCATTTTTAGATCTGAGCATTAGTTTAATCATATTTGTTTTATTCATTGTCAGCAATCTTTAACAATGGTGTTTTATACTTTTCATATTCATTGTGTTTTAAGACTTCAAACACATAATCCGATTTTTCCAAAGGGCAATTAGTGTTCTGTAGTGTACCGATCGATTGGGAATCACTGGAAGCAAATTCTACAACTTTATATATTTACTTTACTAATTATACTTTATTAATTTTTCTTTTTAATTTATTAATATATATATAATGATACTTATGCAATGTTTCAATGAGAAAAAGAATACTTCGTCTTTATTATTTCTACTTGTACCATTGACTGATGATGCCTGTGCCACAGACGATATATGTACCTCGTCTGTGGTCTGTGCATTACGGCATTCTACTTATTTTCCACAGAATTCTCTGCTTATCATCGAACGTTCGCAGCGAAGCATTCTGGCGAACGGTTTGTTATTTCAACCGCGAGATCGCGATAGCTACAGTGTCGGGGCATTCGTTGATCTAATATAAGACCTATACTACTATGTGGTGACGTCACTGGCACTTTTTCGATGATTGTCGATGAATCTTTTCGACATGAAAAAAAAAAAAAAAAAAAAAAAA